CTACAACCACTCATAAATGAACTTACGCAACATTATTAATAAGAACGTCGATACGGCCGCAAAGTTCAATAGCTTTTTCAACAGCAGTTTTCGCCACATCTTTGTTTGATGCATCACCAGCTATATAATTAAATGAATCTGCAGAATAACCTTGTTTAACTACTTCATTTTTCAATGCTTCGAGCTTTTCACTACTTCTACTGCATCCAATAACCCGAGCTCCATTTTTAATTGCTTCTAGGACAATCCCTCTACCAATACCAGAAGAAGCACCTGTTATAACTAAAACAAGACTTTCGGTTGTCATTTTTAAGATTTTTTCACAGGTTTAAGATCAAAATTTTTTTTTTCTTTTTTTCATTTACAAATGTTGCGTTTAAATAGCTCATTTGAAAATTAGTGGGACACGTAATGAATTTTGTGATGATTATCGGCAAATTTCGATAATTATACCGAAGTGATTAGTGATGGAACCTCCCGCATTATTAATAATTATTAACTAATACTAAAAGCACGAGTTATTAAATAAAAACTACTTAATAATGTATGACGCAGCATGACGCAGCAATGGCGCAGTTAGGTTCAATTAGTAATACCTTCGCTAAACCATTGCCAAATCGGTTTTTTTCCTTCCAAATTTACTTTGAGGCGACATTTGAATACTAGTATTTTTTTGTAAACAATTAAAACGAAAGCCAGTCAAAATTTCGAGAAATAGAACTTGACAAAGTTAGGTTAGCATTAGCTGAATTCTGGTTCATTTTGTCGGGAATTTAGTCGTCAGAATTGTTTGTAAAGATGATTTGTCGGGATTTTGACCCAAACAATTACAAAATATGCAGTTATTAAAATGCTTGCACCATTTTTAACAATTACCGAAATTATTAACTATTATTAACTATTATTAACTGTCGGGGATGATGCTGAAACATTGACTTTTTTTAATATGAAATTTTAAATTATTGGAGGAATGTTTTTTTAGCTTTTTTTTTGTAGTTAAGTTAGGGTTTAGGGCTAGTGTTTATAATAAACAAGTATAGGTGGATTTTAGTAGGGTTTATATTCCTAAATTGAGAC